TCTATAAAGCATTGAAAACAGAGTATGATGGAATGTATCTTAAAGTGTGTGTGTAGAGATGACCAGCTGCAGCAGAGCCTTGCCTGACATTTCTGAACAGACCCATTGAGGCACTGGGTCACTTCTTCTAGGGTCTGCTGGGAAAGGGTAACAAGACCTGCAATTACAAAACCACCTGCTTCCTGGCAGCCTAGTGAGAGTTCCAGGCTCTGCATACATTCCTGCCCCGCCCCCTACTGGTTAACTAGCTGGCACACTGTTGTTCCAGCAATGAATCTGATGAAACCCAGAGCTGCACTCTACCATTTGTGACAGCCCTCCCCTGTACCGCCCCCCTGACTATTCTGATGGAGCCTAGTGGGTTTTCAGGAACACTGCACTACCACAGAAAAATAATTTGACCTCAGAGCCCAGCTTCCTCCTCCCAACATCTCTGAACTCCCCATGTTTGTTTTAGCTGGATAAGAGTAACTCTGATTAGCATCATTTACATGAACTACTTACCACTTAGGTCTAATTACCATATGGCACAATAATGATTATGCATATCGTTAAATATGTGCCAGATTAATTGTGCTGCTCCCTGTATTTGATTACAACAGCAATCTAGACTGTAATCAGGGTGCATTCAGCTTCCATGACAACTTCAAGGTCATCTACTTACTGTTTAAAAACAAGAGAATACTGCAGGGCAGTAATCTTGGGAAATAAATTCTACTTCTAAAGCCAGATGCTGTGTTAATAATAATAATAATAATTCATAGCAATGGCAGCTGTATTTATCCAGGATCTATATCACATTATGAACCTAATGACATTTCATCCTCACTGTAATCCTGTACGGAGTCTTGATGTAGCACTGTGGGTTAATGTGCTAGACTGCAAGGTTGGTTTGAACTGCAAGGTCGGTGGTTCAAACTCACCAGTTGCTCCTTGGAAACCCTATACAGGGTCATTATGAGTCAGAATTGACTCGATAGCACTTAACAAACAAATGATCCTGTGCATTAAGTATCACTCTCCTATTTCATACAGGAAGGGACTGGACTGTAGCTCCGAGACATTAAACTATTTGTCTGTGGTCACAGCTAGAGATGGAATTTACACCCAAATCTGCTGGCCTTTCCTCTTGTCCAAGTGAATCGAGGGTAGGTGCAAGGCACATGGGCTTCACAGCTGAGAATGACTTCCACATGTTCATATGACCCCCTGGATTAGTAAGGTCATGGCACATATACCAATTATTCACTTAAGAAGGATTATAAAAAGTATGCTCATACACACACAATCACACATGCCTTAATTTCTTCCTCTATTGCCTGTATTTATTTTGAGCACTTGGGCTTGATCTCATATTAATCTGTCTACTCAGCCCTCAGTGGGAAAGGCAGAAGCTAAGAGTTAGCAGACAATCTGAACTGAGTGGGCAAGGATTTTCATAAACTAGAAGACAGAACTGGTAATACAGAAATCCTTAGAAGGTGGGTGGAGGGCTATCAAGCAGTGTAAGGTAGTTCACAGCAGGTGTAAAGAGGAAGATGAGCAAAGGGAAAAAAAAACCAAGGTGGACTTTCAAGAGGAAAGTCACAAAGCCTTTATCTCATCAAATCATTGATATAAGGTCCACCTTGACGTCCTAACGAGACAGAGAAACACAAACTCGTTAACACCCATTTGTTCTGTGTGCCATCTGTTTGGCAAGTTTATAATTACGGTAGAGTTGTCTCTATGATGGGTAACAAGCAATCTTATTCACTCCTGATTTATTATATATTATTTTAAATGTATGTAAAATTCTGCTTTCTAAGAATGTAATGAGATCATAATGATAAATAATAACAAACAGGTAATGTGATTTGCTTAGTTTTTATAATCCTCTCTGCTGCCCATAATAGAAGATAATCAAAGTATATTTTTTTAAAAAAGCAACCCATCAGGCACTTTTGTAATAAACAAAATAATAGAACTGTTGTTGAATAAGTTATTTATTTAGAGTGAATATTATTATTATTGTTAGGTGCCGTCTAGTCTGTTCCAATTCATAGTGATCCTATGTTCACTGTGGTGCAGTGGGCTATTTAAAATGGCTTTTCTAGTCATAGCCTTTGTAACTTCTACCAAATGATTGGATCATGTGAGGTGTTTGTAGCTCACCAAAGGGACTGGATAGCTTGCTAGTAAAGATACATGGACCCCTTGGGTGGTGGTGGTGGTAGTGTGCCATGGAGTCAGTTCCAACTCATAGCGACACTGCAAAGGGTTTCTGAGGCTGTAAATCTTTACAAGATTTTCTCCTGTGGGACAGTTGGTAGTTTCAAGCTGCTGACCCTGAGGTTAGCAGCCTGATTTATAACCACTACGCTACCAGAGGTATATGGAACCCTAGCATGGAGATTGGTCAGTTTTGCCATCCTGCTAAGTCTAAAATGAGCCATCTCAGAAGAAGAAAGGGCTATCTCATTAACACCAAGAAAGAAGAGCCAGGAGGGGAGCCTGTCTTTTGGATCCCAAGATCTCTGTGCTAAACCTCCTTGATCCGGGAGACAGAGAGCTATAACATGAGACCCCTATAAGAGATGGCAGAGAAGCAGCAGAGAAGTGGTGGCATTAGAGACAGGAGAATGCAGAGCATGAGACAGTGGTGGGTTTTCTTTGGGCCAAGGCTTACTTGCGAAGTGGGAGCTTAATTAGCAGAGTTACACTTGCCCAAGCATGGCAGAGAACATAGGGCCACCGAGCTGAGAGGCCAAGCGCTAAATGGGTTTTAACCCAGCAGAAAAATGAAGACGCTGTGGGCGAGATAGTTGGTGTCAGAATTAATAAAGGTTGGAGGGTGGATATGCATCTGACTTTTGCCTCATAGTAATTGGCCTAGGGGGCTGATGCTATTGGTTTTGATTCTTCTCCCCATTGGTGATACATGAGAAGGTCAGACACTGCCCCCACGTCATTCTTAGAACAAAACACTACCAGGTCCTGTACCTTCCACACAATTGCTGCTATGTTTGAACCATTGTTCAGCCACTGTGTCAATCCATCTTGCTGAGGATCTTCCTCCTTTTCAAGGACCCTCTACTGTATCAAAAATGACATCACTGTCCAGGGCTGCTCCATCCTTATATATCAAAAGTATGAGGACACTTCAGAAAGTTCACAGAAAACTGGAACTAAAAGATAACGGAATGTTTCCATACACTTTTGAAGTCCTGTCCTATATGAGATTAACTCTCGTCATCCTGGCTTTGAAGGAGCATTCTAGCTGTACTTCTTCCAAAACAAATTTGTTCATTCTTCTGGAAGTCCATGATACACTCAGTATTACCCAAACCAAACCCATCAAGTCAATTCTGACTCATCATGACCCCATTTAGGGTTTCTGAGACATAAATCTTTACTAGAGCAGAAAGCCTATCTTTCTCCCGTGGAGTGGCTGGTGGTATTGAACTGCTGACCTTGAGGTTAGCAGTCCAATGCTTATCCTATAGTACCACCAGAGTGCCTACTGTTGTTGTCAGTGCCATCAAGTCAGTTCCAACTCACAGTGACCAACTCACAGCACAAGAGAATGAAACACAGGCCAGTCCTGCACCAGCCTCACAACTACTACTATGTTTGAGTTCATTGTTGCTGCCACTCTGTCAGTCCATCTTGTTAGGGCTCTTCCTCTTTTTCTCTGACCCTCCAACTTTTCCAAGCATGAATGCTCCTATTGTTGATGTTGTTGTTGTTAGGTGCCATCGAGTCAATACCAACTCATAGCAACCTTAACACAGCAGAATGAAACACTGCCCGATCCTGGGCCAACCTCACTACTGTTGCCACACTTGAGTCCATCGACGCTGCTACTTGGCCAATCCATCTATTGGGGGTCTTCCTCTTTTTCTCTGACCCTCCTCCTTACCAAACAGGATATCCTTCTCCAGTGACTGGTCCCTCCTGACAATATGTCCAAAGTATGAGAGGCGAAGTTTGGCCATCCTGGCCTCTAAGGAGCACTCTAGCGGTACTTCTTCTAAAACAGATCTATTGGTTCTTTTGGCAGTCCATGGCACTTTCAATATTCTCCTCCAACACCATAACTCAAAAGCATCAATTCTTCTTTGGTCTTCCTTATTCACTGTCCAGCTTTCTCATGCATATGAGGTTACTGACAATACCATGGCTTGGGTCAGGCGCCTCTTAGTCCTCAAGCTTAGTCTTCAACACTTTAAAAAGTTCGTGTGCTGCAGATTTGCTTAAGGCAATACGTCATTTGAGTTCTTGACTGTTGCTTCCATGAGTGTTGATAGTTGATCCAAGAGGAATGAAGTCCTTGACAACTTCAATCTTTTCTCCATTGATAAAAATGTTGTTTACTGGTCCAGTGGTGAGGATTTTTGTTTTCTTTACATTGATTTGTAATCCATACTGAAGGCTGTGTTCTTTGATCTTCATCAGTAAATGTTTTAAGTCCTCTTCACTTTCAGCAAGCAAGGTTGTATCATCTGCATACTGCAGGTTGTTAATGAGTCTTGCTCCAATCCTGATGCCACATTTTTCTTCATATAAGCCAATTTCTCGGATTATTTACTCAGCATACAGGTTGAATAAGTATGGTGAAAGAATATAACCCTGCTGCACACCTTTCTTAATTTTAAACAATTCAGTGTTCCCATGTTCTATTCGAACAACTGCCCCTAGTCTCTCCCAAATGTATGACAGATTTCCCAGCCAAGGGGCCAGGGAATTCAGCTAGACCTGAATTCAAATTCTAGTTCCATCCTTTATTGGCAATGTGAGCAACGGTTAGACACTTCACAACTCTGAGCCTCAGTTTTTCCATCTGTCAAAGGGGAATAGTAATTCCTCCCTCAGGGAAAAGCACACTAAACAGTACTGCTCTTTACAGATCTTGGTAATTTAAAACAGTACGAAAATCAACTAAGTGAATGCCAAAATGTCTTGGGAATTATGAGAGAGAGAGGTATGGGTTGACTGGCTTTTAAGAACGCTCCACTTACCCATAAATACAAGAGATGTCGATGACCACATCGATCATGTCACAGCACAGTTCATACGTCTGCATATCCACTGGGGTGCTGTCCGTTGCAATATAGATCTTACTGACCACATCGAACAGAAATGCCTTCTCAATCCCAGAATTCTGAAACAAAGAGAGATGCTGCCTTAAAGTGACACTTGATTTCAGACCACATCAGAGTTACATAAAATGAGAATGTCATTCTCAAGGTAAAATATGAACAAGTGAAAATTACATCACTAAAAATGTAAGTTGTGGTATCTCATTACACTCCATACTCATAAACTTTCTAATAGGGGAACTGTACGAGAAACAAAAAGTGAATGGTCATAAGTTAATTTTTTTATCATAAATTATTTTAATAAGTAAACAAACGCTGCAGTATTTCCTAACTCTTAGAGATGTACCTACAGTTTGTTTGGAAAAAGCTGAAGTACCAACACTGATCAACAGAATATTATACACACACACAAAAATAAATTTTACCTATTGTAAATAAGAAAATAAATTTAAAAAATCTAAACAAACTAACCCAAAAGTGTACAGTGACAGTCAATGTGAGTCTAATCAACAGGGTTCCTAGAGAATCCTGCTTGCCTACAAACTCTGCAGGTTCTGCCTGGAGTGGGAGGTTTGTAGGACTGATTCAGCACATCCTCCACATGGTGTTAAACATATAAAAATATATCCAACAATATATATTCTATTGCCCAAACCAAGATTTATGGTCTCTGATAGGGCTCAATCAATATTGAATGATTGTCCAGAACTTGAAAAAACACTCCAATTAAACCAATAAATACAGAAATGTGTCTGTAGAGTGAAAATGTAAAGGATGTAAAACAACATCTATAAGCCTTTCCATGTCCCTTGCCCCGAGAGCTCTATCAGGCTGCTGGGCAGGCAGGAGGAGGGATTCTCAGGGGTGGGTGGGCAGGGAGGCGTGGCTGGGAATAAAGGGAAGCACAGGAAGCAAAGTCAATAAATAACTCCCAAAATATTTGCAAAATAAGTTTGCAAATTAAGCAAAAAAACCAAACAACGACTAATCTTCTAAAGTAATGCTTAAATGACATTGAATTACAATAAGAACACAAGGAAATAAGTAGATCTTTTCCACTCTTGGAATGTCATTCTCAAATTCTGTAAATGACTAACATTCTACAAAACAGGAGCATATTATATACTTACTGAGATAAAGATGTTTAGCAAGTTCTCCAGGGTTGGGAGTTGTGGAATCAGTTTCTGGACCACTTTGCTAAAAGCTTCAAATATTGAATGATCATAGATGCTTGTCAAATAAAAGCTGAAAGAGGAGATAATATTTCATCACGTTTTCCTTTGACTTAGGAATAGACTGTTTAGGCTGTGTCGCGACCCCAGTAAGATACAGTTTTCTAACACACACATTCTAGACCCTTCAGATTAAAAATGAGCTTGTCTTAGCACATCATCCCCTCTCTACCCTCAAAAGGTGAGAACTGTGCTTAAGAGTAAGCATTTTAAAATGCTTTAAAAGGAGCGTTGCATGCCCATATCACTTTCATTAGGTTCTGTGAGAGAATCACCTTTACACAGTCCTATCAAGCTGTCCAAGGAGCTCTGGTGGTGCAATGGTTAAGCACTCAGCTGCTAATCAAAATGCTGGTGGTTCATACCCGTGAGAGAAGGAAGACCTGACAATCTTCTTCAGTAAATAGTACAGCCTAGAAAATCTCCTATGGCAGTTAGACTGTCATATGGAGTCACTAGGAGTCAAAAACTGCCTTAACAGCATGCAACAATACACAGCAGTAGATTATCCTAATGGTCATACAGTGATATTGAAGCATCTAATGTTTTCATTTTCCAATTAGCAAAATGAATACCACCATTCTAAAATTAATAGTGCAGTGACTTTCCTCTATGGATATTCCTATATGAATTACTTTCAGACTATTCTATTTATGATTATACCTGCTGCCATCAATTCCAACTCATGAATACCCCATATGTTACATGTGTTCAAGAGCAAAGATGTCAGTTTGAGGACCAAGGTGTGCCTGACCTTGGTATTTTTCAATTGCTTCATATGCATGTGAAAGTTGGACAGTGAATAACAAAGACTGCAGAAGAACTGCTGCATTTGAGTTATGGTGTGACAGTAGAATATTAAAAGTCCCATGTACTGCTAAAAGAACAAACAAATTTGTGTTGGATGAGGTACAGCCAGAATGCTCCTTTGAAGCCAGAATGGTGAGACTTCACCTCTTATACTGTGGATATATTGTCATGCTTGGTAAAGTGGAGGGTCAGTGGAAAATAGGAAGACCTCCAAGGACATAGAGTGACACAGTGGCAGTGGCAATGGGCTCACAAGTAACAGTGATTGTGAGGCTGGGGCAGGACTGGGCAGCGTTTCATTCTGTTGTGCATGAGGTCGCTATGAGTGGGAACTGTCTCGGCAGCATCTAACAGAAACAGAATTGCTCCATAGGGGTTTTCTTAAATTGTAATCTTCACAGAAGGTGATCACCAGGCCTTTATTCCAAGGTACCTCTGGGTGGGTTCAAACTACCAACCCTTCAGTTAAGAGTAAAGCACAACTATTTGTGCCACCTAGGGAGCCATTTTTGATAATAGATATCATCATATTTATCAAGGAGCTCTGGTAGCATAGTTGTTATGAATCGGGCTGCTATACTCAGGGTCAGCAGTTCGAAACTACCAGCTGTTCCGCGGGAGAAAGATGAGGTATTCTGCTCCGGTGAAGATTTACAGCCTCGGAAACCTAGTACAGGGTCGCTATGAGTTGGAACTGACTCCACAACACATAACAACAACAACATATTTATCAAGAACGGTAAACTTCAACATCTATTAAGTTCTTGAATATGTCCACAGGTTTTATGTTACGTGTTTTGTATTAGAGAGGAGAATCTTACTTTTGATCATATGATAAAACAAAAACACTGCTTTTACCAAAGATTGGGATGAGCACATTCAAAGCTTGCTTTTTCTCAATCCTACCCCAATGTCTACATCACAAAACAGGGTAAACAGATAGATGATTACACATACCAAGTCAATCCTGGTGGTTTGGGGCCCTCAACCTGCTTTTTTCTATCTAATACTGTGATCCCAGAATGATTTCTGTTCTCACCTGAGGTGAATTTTTTCTAATCCAGCATCTGCAAGGTCATCATTTGCCCTCTGGTGAATGTCTCTTTGGGTTTCAATTTTGTGGTCATCTGACAGGCCATCCACTTTATGAATAAACACTTCAAAGTTGATGTCAGTGTTGACTTTGTGAGCCCTGGTCACAGTCAGGTGAAGCCTGGCCAGGGCTTCCATGTAATCGTCCTAGGAACAGAGATGCACCCTGTTAGAGTGGTACCGTCAAGAGCAGTGCCTTTGCTTCCATGGACACTCTTAGTCTCTGGAAACCACACAGTACAACCTCAAAAAGAATCCTGCAAAGGCCCAAGTAAAAGTTGGTTTTATGGAATCAAATTGGAAAACTTAGGCTTTTGTTATCAAAGAGACAAAAAAGGCTAGTAAAATGCAGCTGTAGAAGAGAATGTAAAAAGGCTCAACTGCTGATGAAAACAGTTTAGAAGTTCCTCCAAAAGTTAAATTACCTTATGACCCAGCAATTCCATTCTTAGAAATACATCCAAAAGAATGAAAACTCAAACAAATACATGTAATACATGTTTATGGCAGCCATAACTAGCCACAACAGCCAAAGGTGAAAACCCCTCAAATGTGCATTATCTGATAAATGGAGAAACAAAATGTAGCACAAACATACAGTGGATTACGTAGCCATAAAACGAATGAAGTACTGATACATGCTACAACATGGATAAACCTCAGAAGCATTATAAATGGAAGAAGAAAAACACAAAAAAATATTGTATCACTCTATTTATATGTAATATCCAAAATAAGCAAATTCCCAGAGACAACGCAGACTGATAAATGCCAGAGGTGGAGGGGAAATAAGGAGAAACTGCTCATTTGGCATAGGGTTTCATTGTGAGGTGATGGAAATGTTTTGGAACTGGATATATTGGTTGCATAACATTATGAATGTACTAAATGCCACTGGATTGTTCATTTTAAATTAGGTAATTTTAAGGAGCTCTGATAGCATAGTAGTTACGAATCGGGCTGCTAACCTCAGGGTCAGCAGTTCAAAGCTATTAGCTGTTCTGCGGGAGAAAGATAAGGCTTTCTGCTCCCATAAAGTCTTAAAGCCTCGGAAACCCTGTACAGGGTCGCTATGAGTTGGAACCGACTCCACGGCACATAACAACAACAATTATAAATGATGTGAATTTCACTTTAATTTTTGAAAATTAAAAAATTATGTATCTGTTGTTAAATGCCGTCAAATCGGTTCTGACTCATAGTGACCTTGTATAGGTAGTTATATTTAGGTTGATGACAGTCATTAAGGACCAGAATTATAGGACTCTAGGTATCTTGTTCAACAACTAGGATTTATTGGTGATCGGGATTCATGAAGAAAACCTGACCCCACCACACCTAGGACTTCCCAGCTAAATGAGATTCTTGGTGAAATGATAGGAACAATGTGAAATAGAGACATAATGTACATCACTGGCTGGGTAGAGAAAACGAGGAAAAATGCTGAGAATTACTAGTCTAATTTGGCCAAATCTGGCCCACTGTCCACTTTCTGTAGGCAGTTAGTTTGGAACACCAAGTGTCGTTGGAACACTCATTTGCTTATGTACGGTCTCTGGCTGCTTTCATGCTATAACAGCAGAGCGGAGTAGTGTTCCTCAGTGGAAACTCCACGGAGATAGTAGTCTGCAAAGCCTAAAATATTTACTATCTGGCTCTTTACAGAAAAAAGTTGCCAACCCCTGGTCCAAAGTAACTGTCTAAATTATAGACTTGTTTTTCTCCTTCCTACAAGTGACAAGGGTTGCTATCACCACAGCAGCACCCAACACCATCTGCATAATAGAGCCAGCACCTATGTATTGGTTCATTTCTCAGTCTAAGAAATAAACGGTAGACACTGAAGCCCAATGCTTCTCCCATTCTCCATCCCTTTATCCCCCACCCTCCAGAGTTTAATATTTATTCCCACTCATCTCTTCATATACTTAATATGTGAGTAAACATATATCCCTAAACAATGCACAGAATGCAGTCACACTGTTCTAAAATTTGTAGAAAAATCAAGTTTCACGTCTCAACATAGTAAATTACTTAATGTGTTTCTTCTAGCCATAGTCTTTCTAACGCCCACCAAATGGCTTTTTCCTGACTGGCCTGGGTAAGAGAAAGTGGGGGAAGATGCTGATAGATGAAATGATTTCACTTGTGAGCCACTGTTTACAGGGTTAATTTTGACTGTGAAAACCTTGAATTCTCACATAGGCATAAAATGAGTCATCTCAGAAGCAGGAACATGGGATCAAGAGAGAAGCGGCAGAAGCAGAGTGCATCCTTTGAACTTTTGAAATCCTCATGCAATGAACCTCCTCAACCCAGGAGACACAGCTGTGACCAGAGGAATGACAGAGGAGTGCCAGCAATAGAACTCAGAGCCAGAGAACAAGACAGCAGTGGGCTTCCTGGCCCACGGAGCACGTATAGTGGAATGTCTACAGGCAGGAGGCTTACTTGCAGCGTGGTGTGCCTCCACGTTTGCCAGCCCACCAAACGAGAGCCAAGCACCTTTGGCTGAGGCTTATAGCAGAGTGGAATGCCTTTTGAGTATTTATTGGCAGCCCTAAAAGAGCTTTGTAATATTGCCTGATCAGGGCAGAGGCCAGGCCAAGGGTCATGGGCCAGAGTGAAGCCTGCCTATGGGCATGACTGGAAGAGCTTGCCTTGAGCATTTCTGATCCTGAATTGTACCCTACTAACTTCAAGCTCACCAGCTGCTCCTCGGAAACCCTATACAGGGTTGCTATGGGCTGGAAATGACTCAACAGCACTTAACAACAACAACTTTCTTAATAAACTCCATAATTATGAGTATTGTTTCTGAGTTCTGTGTGGCCATTGTCATGAATTATCAAGCCCAGTTGAGGGACCACTGATGTTGATTGGTATAGAAGGTTAGAGGGTTGAGGTATGTCTAACCTTCTCATAAGAATGACCTTAGGTAGAAGTTTTGTAAAAAAAATGAGGGAGTAGTTAATCTTACAGTGCAGAAACAGAGGACCCTAGGGAAAAGAGCACAGCACAAGCAGAATGTAGGACCCTATCCAGAGAAGCAGCGACACCGGAGATGGAGGCAGAGATGAGGACATGGAGAAAGGGAGTAGCTCAGGACTCTGGACTCATGGAAAGAGAGGGACTGGGTGCTGGTGGCAAGAAGGCAGGCTTGCAGAATGTGCCCTTTGGTTGTTTAAATTACTATATATTTCTTAGTGTTTCTGTGTATAACCATGCCCACCCCCCAAAAAAAAACAAAACAGGGAATGGATGCAAGTATTGTTGAATGATAATGCACGAAGGAGATTGTATTCATTGCAATGAAACGATGGTGTAAAGTTGATGTTCTCCCATGTAAACTATCACTCAGTTCACAATAAAAACAAAACAAAACAAAAAAAGACGTTGGGCAGATGACAATAATATTGGTTCTCCTTGCCCCTGGTGAAGTAAGAGAAGGTCAGCTGCCACCTCCTATACCCTGTTACACATGTATTCCATAATTTGCCTTTTTTACTTAACGTTGTCAGTGATTTTCTCCAGACACCCTCACCAATATATGGTGATGTCAGAACTCTTAATTTTTTAATTTTTTTTTTTAACCAGTTTGAGGGTATGAAAAAGTTCTGACTTTATAGCAAAGAAAATAAAATTTCTAGGAGAGAATTTAAAGAATTTTGTATCAACCATTGGATTAGTTGCTGTTAGGAACTGTTGAGTTGATTTTGACTCATAGTGACCCAATGTAACAGAACTGCCGCAAAGGGTTTTCTAGGCTGCAATCTTTATGGAAGGAGCCCTGGTGTTGCACTGGGTTAAGTGCTTGGGTATGGCTGCTAACTGAAAGGTCAGGGGTTTGAACCCATCAGTGGCTCCACAGAAGAAACACCTGGCAGTTTGCTCCTGTAAAGATGACAGCCTAGGAAACCTTAGGGGTAGTTCTGCCTGGTCCTATAGAGGTCATCATCATGGGTATGAACTGGCTTGCCAGCACACAACAATCATCTTTACAGGATGATTTACCACGGTTTTCTTCTATGGAGCCAACAGGTGCATCAGGACTACTAACCTTTCTGTTACCCACAAAGTGCTTAACCATTGTGCCACTAGGGCTCCTATTATAGCTCTAAACCTGAACAAATACAGAAAGTCGATATACCTGGATCTTTTTTGTTTTGCATTGGTCGCTAAATTAAATGGAAACTTAGCTCTAGTCTCTAGATAGCATTAAAGATACTAACAGAAAAATATGAAAAGAAAAAATAGCAAGTGGAGTCTTTTTCATCCTTCACACTCTGAAGAGTTGTTTACAACAAAAGGCAAATACCAGCCAGCAAATTAAGTATTTTAGAAGTAAATATTCTAGATTTTCAGCCCTTTTTTAATATCTTAAAAGTATCTCAAGAACGAATGTTAATACTACTGTATGGTTTAACATATATAAAATCCTAGAAAAGGCAAATTCTAGTGACAAAGCAGATCAGTAGTAGTCTGTGAATAGGGGTCAGGGGCTGTCTAAGAGTGGTGGGAACATTCTATATCTAGGTTGGAGGGGGTGGCTACATGGTGCATACATTCATCAAAACTCACTGAACTGTACGTGTAAGTGGGTATGTCTGTAACTGAATCAGGAAGTTTAGGGGGCATGAGCAAAACAAACTAATGTGAAGTGAGCATCACAATCTCAGACGACTGGAATTTGCTTCTCTAACCTCTTGGCCAAACCCCTGTATGCTAAGTAGGAACCGTGGCTGTGTTGCAGTGGTGGTCTACTAACCAAAAGGTCAGCAGTTTAACCTCACCAGCGTTCCATGGAGGAAAGCTGTGGAACTGCTTCCACAGAGATTTCAGCCTTGGAAACCCTGTAAGCTCTACTCTGTCCTATAGGACCACTCACTATGAGTCAAGTCAACTCGATGGCAGTGAGTTTGGCTGGTCTCGTCTGATTATCAACTGACTGATAAAGAGGTACATATCCACAGGGGCTTGGAAATGGCATTAAAATGAAGTGTAGAGGAAAGGAATAGTAGAGAGACTGTGGGTGATTCTTCCCATTTAGAAATGTGTCACCTTCTAGGATAAATCAAATTGGAGAGGAAAAATGCCACCTAGTGTCTACCCTGGGAGTCCTGGTGTGGCCCTGTGGGTTAATACGCTGGACTGCAAGGCCAGTGGTTCAAACTCAACAGCCGCTCCTTAGAAACCCTATACAGGGATGCTATGGGTCAGAACCGACTCAACTGCACTTAACAACAGTGTCTACCTTCAATATTAGATGTAGGACTTTACTGGAAGGTCACAATCACCAACACAAGCCAAAGTCTCTTTTGGATCCCAAAGAGCATGCAGAATAGCTTTAGGGGGCCTAGTGGCCCCAGGAGACTCTGTGGGGCGCCAGGTCACACATTTCACTTAGAGAAATCACTGCTGATGCTCTTTCCTTTCACAACATTCTGTGAGGACACGTTATGTGGCAATTCTGTGATTGTGAGAAATTCACAAGCAGAAAATAAAAATATAAAGTGTCAGACTGACAGAGCATTGCTTAGACATAGAGGAGATGCCAGTAAAGTGCTATATAGACAATTCCCCCCAGTTTGAATGTTTTTTGTGTGTGTGTCTGTAATCATATCACATAGATACCTGCAAACAAGACTTTTACAGTCTGCTTCTAACTGAAAAATAAATAGGTTCTGAAACTGCTTATTGAATTACTAATTTTTGATAAATCTCAGCAATGTTTTTCCTACACTTTGTTTAAAATATAGCTTTAAAAGGGGAATTTCTCATATCTTCCTCTACCCTATAGCTTAAAAAACAGTGTCTGCATTGATGTTCAGGTAAAATTAAAACCAAATTATAGCTGCAATTTTAAAACAAGCTAGTGTACCTATTTTAGCCACATGAGAGTCACATTACAAACACCTGAGAAAGATTTGCACAAGAAATTTGAATTCCATAAATGTGAACTACTATGTAAGCACAGCATGGTATTTCAGTACATTCTTACTAAGCCACTATCCTGAAATGATGAATAATCTCGTTGGAATCTACTTATCCATGGGTAGGGCTGCTACTGCTACTTAGTTCAACAACTGTAGAAACAGGCGGCGTGACTTGGGAGGCAAAAATGGAGCTTGGGAGAAAAGGTGAGTGGGACATCCCTGATCTCCCCTGCAGTAGTGCATGCACCCCAGCTGTCCCTTTGAGCTCCAGGGACTCCAAGCTGGCAGACATGAGGCAGGAAGGCAGGGCTATTGCCAAAGCCACAGATAGACCCGAAAACAGGTCAGTACAAGTGGGACAGTCAGGAAAGCAACTACTGACAGCGGACTCTGGACCTGAAGCAGATCTCTGTCAGCACACACAACACACATACATCGCAATGGATCATGGTAGGAGAGCGAGCTGTGTGCTGCAGAGGACCAGGAGACAACTGCATTGTGTTGAAAGTCTCCCCCAAATCCACCACAGAAGAATCGCTCCTAACCACATGGTCATGCTCCCGTAACATAGAAGAAGTATACATGCAGTCACTTAGAACTGAAAGGCTTGGTTGAAAGTTTCAAAATTTTATTTAAAAGGTACCTAGTCCTGGTGTGGCGTTGTGAGAAGCAATAACTGCTGACTGCAAGGTCAAGTTGGGTTCACACCCACCAGCCACTCCTGGGGAGAAAGATGAGGCTTTCTGCTCCAGTAAAGATTCATAGGCTCCCTATGAGCTGGACCTGACTGGATGGCAGTGGGTCAGAGTGGGTTTAGCACATATCTCTTTGGCCTGTTGTCTTTTATTCCCTCACAGCTGGGTGTGTCTTCAGGCTGGAGCATGTATGACAGATACCACCTAAGACTATATTGTTGTTAAGTGCCATCAGGTTGGTTCCAACTCATAGGGACACTGTTTAGGATTTTTGAGGAATGGCTGGGGAGTTTGAACTGCCAACCTCATAGTCACCAGTCCAGTGCTTATCCAACAATGCTAAACAATTTTAAGAGCATCAATATCACAGTCCTGCTACATTTAAACCAGCTGCCATCTAATGGTTTTTGACTCATGTTGGCCCTGTATGTGTCAGTGTAGAACTGTGTTCCAGAGGATTTTCAAGGGCTGATTTGGCAGTAGCAGATCACCAGGCCTTTCTTCTGAGGTACCTCTGGGTGGGCCACCCAGACTCCCTACTACATTTATTCTTTCCTAAAACAAATCTGCTGGAGACCTACCACCTGTGCTCCTGCAGTTTCCACTTCCCACGACATGGAAATGTCCTTCAAATGACACTTGACAACAGCCAACCAGAATCTTACTGCAGTGTGTAGTGCCTCTGGGTATAAAACTCCCCACGCCCCTATGCACAGAGACAATTCACAATGCTGGACTGAATAACAATAAAGTGAATCACTCAAATGGCTGCAGAGCAAGCTTTCTGTGAGACACACCACCAGCCGGACGCACAGTGACTAATACAGGAGAAAGCAGAACGGCTCCTGGGGCTTTCCACAGCTATACATCCATGTGGAAACAGACAGCCTCACTGTTCTAATGAGGAGCAGCTGGTGGCTTGAACCACTGACATTGTGGTTAGCAGCCCAGTGCCTAACCCACAGTGCCACCAGAACTCCTTTTCTGCAGGACAAGGGTTTCCTAATTCTTTGTTTTCAACAAAGTTGGAAGCCCTAATCAGGATATCTGTTGAGAAAACATTAAAATAATATTTTGTGATAGGAAACCCATAGTCACCTATTTATTTAGGTGAACAAAATTTCTCAGTGCTTGTTGTTAAGTGCCACTGAATTGGTTCTGACTCACAGCAACTGTGTATGGGTTTCCAAGGAGTGGCTGGTGAGTTTGAACCACCGACCTTGTGACTGAAAATAATCTAGCAGTCCCGTACTTTATCTCACAGCACCAGACCAGGACTCTAAAAAAATCTTTTCAGGAGCATCTATATATATCAAATTTTACTTTTTATACTTAATAATAAGCTATAAAACTGCAATGTATGCTTTCTTAATTGTGTTCTAGCAATAATTTAAAATTTTCATTCACAAGAATTTTCAGTTATAACTTTTTCTTCATATGAAATAATAAACCTTTTAAAATGTACGTTTACATACATAAGGTTATTAATCATAAACCTTTTAATGTACATTTACATACATTTTCTGTGGAGAGAATCTGAACTCATAGTGACCCTAGAGGACACTGGGCTTCCAAGGCTGTAGAGCTCTACAGCAGCAGACGGCCACATCTTTCTCTGAGGAGTGATTGGTGGGTTCACACTACTAGCCTATTTGGTTAGCAGCCAAGTGCTTAACTCCTGCGCCACCAGGGTTGCTTCTGTTGCAGAGAAGCTGTGATCTTTACAGATGTTTGCCAGGCTATCTGGTGGGGGTGACACATATTTGCTGTCATTGGTTTGGATGATCCCCTCTCCACCCTGAGATGTTTCTAAGGTCTATGATGTACTGAAATATCTCTCTCTCTCTAAGGGTCAGTAAAGGAGTTCTAGTGCTGCAATGGTTAAGGGCTCAGCTGATAATTGAAAGGTTGACTGTTCAAACCCACCCACCAGTGACTCCACGAGAGGAAAGACCTGGTGAGCTGCTCTCATGAAGACTGCAACCTAGAAACCTATATGGGGAAGTTCTACTCTGTCAATGAGTCAGAACCAAGGGTCAGTTGTTGTTCGGGCTGGGTAGAGAGAACCTTGTCTCCTTAGCAAACTCTGAGAGCCCAGGCTAAGAAACACTTGTTTGGCAGAAAAGCCTCTTCTAGATTTTAAAAACCAAAAGTAAACATTATCACAAGTACACTTGTTTTGAACACAGAGGGCTGCCGGTCTGACTGGCTACAGGTGGCCCCTGAGCCTCTGAGCTTTACCTGGGAGTCAATGACAAATATCAGTGCTCCTGTTCCACGAAAGATCATCTCGTAGTCAAATGTAGGGTCAAAAAAGTCAATCTGCCCTGGGAAGTCCCAAATTTGAAAATTAACAAAGGAGCTGTTGGAAACATCTTCCCGGCATATCTTGTTAGTGCTCTCCAAGAACAGGGTTTCGTTGGGAGACATTTTGTGAAAGACAACTTTCTGAATGGATGACTTGCCACTTCTCCTCAGGCCCATGAGCAGGATTCTCGGCTTCACCTCAGTGCTGAAGGGATCGCTGAAGTCCAGAACTGGAGAAACCACAAAACAGGAATGAGGGTGAGACACTTTCACAGTGGTTAATTAGAGAAGTTTCACTTCCACCTCAAATGTGATTTATGATTCACAGCCGATGCTGTATTTCCAAATACAGAGAATATTAAGTAAACCACCCTACCCATTTAAGCATACTTACTTTCTATGGGCAAAACAGTGAAAAAGATGTTATTTCATTACAACTCATGTGGTAGGATAAACACTGGATTATTAACCACAAAGTTGGCAGTTCAAACCTACCAGCTGCTCCTCGTAAACCCAATACACGGTAGGAACCAACTCTATAGCACGTAACAACAACAACAACAACTACATATCACCCAAGAAAACAAAAATAACAAATTCCATATCACAAGCAGGAATCTGGTTGGTGAAGAGCAGAGATCTCCTGGAGCAGACTGTTGGTGGAACAGAATCCAGGTCTTAGCTTTCCAGAATGCTATCCTACTTTTTGCCTAGAGCAGGGATATGGAGCATCTAGCCCGTGGGCAAAGTCTGTGAAATTTTTTGATCTGGCCCTGCCAAGGCAACCACAGTTCCAGTCATTGCATTGTTGTTGTTGTTAAGTACTGTCAAGTCGATTCTAACCCATAGCGACCCTGTATAGGGTTTCCAAGGAGCAGCTGATGAGCTTGAACCGCCGACCTTGCAGTTCAAACGGCTTTGCAACCTGGAGTATTAACCCACAGCGCCACACCAGGACTCCAGTCATCACATTAGGAGTGACTTAATTAAATGTTTGACCAAATATAGGAGGCTAATTTTTAAGTTGATAATTTTGTATAGCTTGCGAAAAACAAAAATCAGGGCTTACTCGTCAGAAAGAGACTGCAGGAACAAGAGACTATGGCCCTCAGCCACCCTTCAGGTCTGTAATGGAACTCACTCTGGTGCCCAATATTCAACCAAGCAGTAGATAAGTCAGCCTACCAGTAGGTGGGAGAATAATAACACTAGTTAGGTGTGCTCACCATGGAATGGTCAACCATTCAAGATCAAAAGGGCAACATTTACCTGGGGTCACAGTTTAGAGGCATTGGATGAGGGTGAAGTAGAAATAGAACCACAGGGTGGAAGTACAGTAACTGTTGTTACAGGAAGGTGCCTGCAATCACTGAAGTGAAACTGTGTAAATAGTCGGATGTTAAACTGATGATCTGCTCTGTAAACCTTCACTCAATTCACAATAAGAAGTTAAAAGAAAAAGACAAATATTGTGGCATGTAAAACACACCTCCCCCAGCTCCCAAAAGAAAAAAAACAAAAGACCCAATATGAAACTTGGAGACAGAGAAAAGAAACCAACTATTTAACAAAAAAGGCAGACTACAGGCAAATGAGATGGTGTTGAAAATATCAGAAAGATGTTT